AGCAATGACAACAACAGCAGCAGCAACAGGAGGAGGAGGCACAATGGCAAAGGATGTGTTGAAACATGGGATGAAAGGCCTGCCAAGAACCTATCATTATTGTCTGAAACATGGGGATAAGAACTGCAGGAAATAAATCCGGTTAAGGAAACCCCAACTGAGAAGAGTCTGCTAAGGGTCAAGCCAGAGAACCGGTCCTTCTTCCTTCTCTTCTTTCTTTCAGTGCATTTTAATTCTCTTGCTCTGAAAGGTGCTGCTTGGAGCCAATTGACGCAATGCATGGCGGACTTTGTCCCCACCAGCCAGAGGAGTGGCGCAGCTCAAATCATCTGGGAAAAAAATTATTATCGCTGTCGTTTTGTCTGCAGCGAGGTGTCAACACTTCTGGTTTATAGGGAGAGTGGTTTATAGGATCTACGTTGCTTTTCCTTGCATCTCCAAAATCTCAGCCGCAAATCCCAACTGGGTCTCCTCTGGCTCCCAAATGGCTCTCTTTGGAGCATGGACCTTCTCCCTCCTGATCTCCTGCATCACCTTCTTCCTCGTCCTACGCTGGAGGAGAAAACCCAAGGACGGCAACCTGCCCCCAAGCCCTTTTCGCCTGCCTTGGCTGGGCAACCTGCTCCAAGTGGATATTCAGAACCTCTTCATGTCTCTCTATAGGGTGAGTCTCCTTTGGCCCTTTAGGGGATGGCTTTGCCTGGATTGCTACCGAGTCAAAAGCCATTTGGGCCCTATCCTCTCCCCAGATGCAGGGTCATACCTTCAAGCTTCTCTTGTGTTTGTTCTTTCTTAGGACCAAAAATGTAGAGGATAGGAGAGGAAGCAAAAAGGCTCTAAAAAGTCCAGCCTATTCTGGAGGCCATGATCTAGGTCTTAGGGCTTGGCCCCAAGTCTCCAGTTTTCATGGGTCATCTCCAGGTGGAAGATGAGGGTGCAAATTCTTCACTTTGGGGGTGATAGGCTCTGGGTTATGTGCAAATCTCCAGCTCAGCTAGGAGAGCAGCATCTTGGCACAGTTTGCCAGGCTTAATCTATTTCCTATGGTAACTTGCACAGGCTGTCCAGGTGTTTACAGAAGAGTGCTAGGTGCAAAGCTGGGAGGGGCTGCTGCGGTTTGCTTTTGCCGGAGCCTCCTGGGAAGGGTGAGATCCTGCCCCTCCTCTCCTCCCTGCAGAGTTAATGGGGTGCAAACCACTTTTGCAAACTGAACTCAGTTTCAAGCAGTTGAAGTCAGCTGAGGACAAAGGGGGAAAGTGTGGAGTGGAGATCAAAACGGGGATATTTTAAAAGCCATTGAAAAGATGGCTTAATCAGGAAATCCATCCCTATCAATCTGGGGGCTCATTCCCACTATGATTTGAAGCGATTTGCTGATCGCTTTATATGTGCCTCGTTCCGATTGGAAATGGCTTCAGATGTGACTGCAATCATTCAGACTTGCTTTGAAGCGAGACAAATGCAAAAAAAACCCACAAAACCATCGCTATTTTCAAACACTAATTTTTTAGCGGTTTTGTTTTTTTAGGTGATTCGTAAGAGCAAGGGTAGGCAACCTTTCCCCTTTAAGGGCTGAGGGACTTTAGCTCCCAGAATCCCAGGAGCTATTGGCCAACATGGCTGAGGCTTCTGGGGGCTGAAGTCCCTCGGCCCTTAAAGGGGAAAGGTTGCCTACCCCTGCGTAAGAGTGTTCAAAAAGTGGGAACGACGGACCTGAATCACAGGTAGGCAGGGATGTGTCTGTGGTTTTGTGTGTAGAGGTGGCTGTAGCAATGGCTTCCCTACTGTTGCACAGAGAGGCTGGCGGCAGTAAAGTCCATGGCGGTCTCCGGCTTCCCAGCGCAGCAATCTTGGCACAGGGTGCTTGGATGCTCTGGTAGCGTTGCTGCTTCTGGTGCATTGGGAGAAGCAGCAAAAGCCCTGGCCACCAGCTCTGCTGATGATAATGCTATGGTCCGAAAGCCATCAAGAAGCCCTGGAGGGCACACGGACCCCTTGGCATTGCTGGACAGGTGTGCCAACCAGGGGCCCACACAACACACACTCACACAGACACACACACAGAGAAGACACGAGCCTTAAGAAAGGCTTAAGCACAAAGCCGAGGCATCCCAAAGTCAAGGCGCTGGGAAAGTGCTTCCTCCAGCTGCTTCCTCGGCTCACTAGCGGGAACGACACAGATTAGGGAAGGAATTCGCTTCCATCATGGGAACTACGCATCGGCCTGAATCGAATCTGCGACCCGGTGTCAATACGAATCACAAATCGGTTTAAATGCAAGTGGGAATGAGCCCTTCTTGAACAGTTGAAGGGTATTATCACCTCCCTCTTGGAGCTTCCTCTTGTAAGATTTGAGCCAGGCTTATGCTGGCTGGGCAATGATGAGGGTTGCTTGGGTTCAAGGCAAAAACATTTGGCAACCCTAAATGGAACAGACGAAAGAGAAAACACCCCAGCTGAAATATCCTAGGCCCATTGCAGCAGTCACACCCAGAGGTTGTTTGTAACCTTTTGACACTATAAAACCTGTCGAGCAATATATTTCACTTCTGCTATACATTTTTTAAAAGTACGTTATTGTTGCAAGCTTGCACAAAGGTTGACGCCTGTCTCCCTCGGGGTGAGGATTTGTTCCTCTCGTTCTTTTTGAAATTTACAGACTACTAGATCCTTGAATGCAGAGCTTCCCAAATCATCTCATGCAGGGGACTGTATGGGGTTTATCACATGGGACAGATCCCGTGCAGAAACTGGATTTAAACTGAAAAAAACCCACAAAAGTGGGTAGTTTTTCAGATGACATTCAGGGTTAACCCAAACAAAAAGTAGGAAAAACTTGCAAAAGCAGGTTGTTTTTCAGAAGACGTTAGCGTTAATGAGAATTAATGCAACATTAACCCGAACAGAAACTAGACAAAACACACTCCTTTTTACTTTCGGAAAATCCCAAAAGTAAAAAGGGGTTCGTTTTGTCTACTCTCTGTTTGGGTTAATGTCACATTAACCCCATCGTGTGTGAAAAACTACCTGCTTTTGTGATTTTTTCCTGATTTTTAAATCCCGTTTTTGCACAGGATTTTTGCTCTTTTTCTCCCTGTGATAAACTCCTAAGTTGCTTTTTCCTGCTGTGCCAGGGACTGGCATCATACTTGTACCCATTGCCTACAAGTTTTTCTTTTCTTTTCTGGAAACTCACTAGGGACTGGCAGCCAACAATTTGCAAAATGGCAGTGGACCACCACTTTGCAAAGCACAGATGTATCGAATAAATCAGAATAATTGCCCTGCCAGATTCTTTAAAAAAATTCTACAAATAGTTGAGCAGAAGAGGGAATTCCTCTGTGTTGTGCAAGGGCCTGGGAACAACTAGCTGGGAATGACACCATCCCTTTGCTTTCTACATGGAGGCTCTGAATGTTGCTGCCATCCGGCCCAGGAGATTCCCTTATGTCCAGTTTTTCTTATCGGCAGCTCCAGGAACAGTACGGTCCCGTATTCACCGTCTACATGGGGCCCCAACCAGTTGTGGTGCTGTGCGGTTATGAAGCCATAAAGGAAGCCCTTGTGGACAATGCAGAAGTCTTCGGAGGGAGGGCACGGATGTTGGGCATGGATGACACCATGCAGAATTACGGTGAGTAGCTGGCCAAAAACGGAGAAGAGAAAATGGGCATCCCTTTTCTTGATAGACTCTGTATATGTGGGGCACCTAATGTTGGAGATCTTGCATTTTATCCGCTGCATTGTCAATTATATAATGGTATCAGAGAGAAATATCTGGCTCCCATCTTCAGGAATTTGAGGGAAAAGGATGATGAAAGCAAGATGTCTCTGCTATTGCAAGGAGTAGAGCCTTTCGTGAGTCTTAGGGTTGCCTTGTTTGCAATGAAAGCAGCTATTTTACAGAAGCAAGAAGTAGTTAAGGGCTGCAAATAGACTGTTGTGCAAATTGTAAGAGGGGTGTAACCTGATTCAAATATAAACTATGGAGTTTATCACACGGGGGAAATACCGTGCGGAAACAGGGCTTTAAATTAAACAAAACCTGCAAAAGCGGGTGTTTTTTCAGACGACATCGCTGTTAAAAGGAGGTTAATCCGAATGGAAATTAGACAAAAACTGCTTCTTTTTACTTTCGGAAGATCCTGAAAGTAAAAAGAAGCAGTTTTTGTCTGATTTCCGTTCAGATTAACCTCTTTTTAACAGTGCTGGGTTTATCACATGGAGAAATCCTGTTGATAAATTGCTTCCGCTTTTGCG